GCTAATTTTTTCTATGTATTTTTAGTTGTCCGATTAATTTCTTTCTATTTTTAGTAGAGACGGGGTCTCGCTCTTGCTCAGGCTGGTCTCGAACTCCGGTTTTTGCTTTTTAAACGCAAATGAGACCCCGCTTGGGGAAGGGGCCGGTCCTGTGGTGGGAGGCGGGGAGGAAGGGCGCATCAGCAGTGCTCCGCCTGGGCCCAGTGGCCCCCCCAGCCCAGAAAGCACGGAGCCTCTGTCTGTGGGACGAAGTTTTCCGTTCCCGTGATAACTTCCACCCAGCAAAGCCTGGTCCACAGCCCAAGCTCAGTGGCCACTTTCCTGCTGCAATAAATGCGACGAAAGTGACATGTCCAGATTTCGCACATGGTTTTGCTCAGTACAGAGCACTTTCTGAGGGCACTAATGGTAAGATTCAGAGGGCCACAGTGCTGTGGACTGCAGACAGCCCCCACCAGAGACTGTCGGGCCCCCCACTAGCCTTTCAGCGATGGGGAGCCCCCAAGGACAAATGCGCTCAGCTCAGGGCTGGTGGGGGGCACTGCAACCTCCCTGTCCTTCCTCACATCAGACAGCTTCCCTCAACCAGCCATCCTGGAGGGCACCACCCCCACCCCTGCCATCAGGGGCTTCCTTGCCAGCCAGCCTCTTGCCTGCCACAGACTTATGTGGGGACTGACCCAAGGTGGCCTCATGGCCCCACCTCCTGATGTTCATGCCATGCGTGACACTTTGCAACTTCCTCCCCACCGACAGTCCGCCAGTCCACCAGTCCACCGAAGGCGACAGAGGTGACAGGACCCTTGCTGTGACGTGAGACTCGCCAGAGCCTCTGCTTGCTGGCCTGAGGGGCCAGAGCCAGGACTGGGGACCCCATGTGGCGAGGGGCCCAGGGTGGCCTCCAGCCTCCAGCCAGCAAGAGGCCAGGCCCTCGGTTCTACAGATACAGGGAAATAATTCTGCTGATGACCTGAAGCAGATCTTTCCCTGCCAGACCTTCCCTGCCCCAAACGTGGCTGCAGCCACCTGGGAGGCCCTGAGCAGTGGCCCCAGCTAGGCCCTGCCCAGGCTCCTGACCCTCAGAAACTGTGTGACAATAAATATGTGTTGTCTTAAGTTGCTAAGCTCATGGTAATTTGACACAGCAGTAGGAAATGAATACACTATTATTATTTTTATGGCTTATTTTCTGTCCTTTCATGCCCACTCTTGCAGGCTGTATTATCCACAAATGCTGCAGCAGTGTGACCTACACCAGATCATGTCTCTGCCCCTGCCCTGGGAGGTGCAGCACGGTGGGGGTAGTTTCTGATGCACATCTAAGTCTGCCTCATTCTTGATGGTCATGCTGGGAACCAGCCGCCATGCTGTGAGGAAGCCCAACCAGCCACAAGAAGCAACCGAGGCAACCATGTAGAGATGCCAGAGGCTGCTGTTCCAGCCAACAGCTGCCACCATCTGCCAGCCCTGGGTGTAAAAATGCTGCCTGATGGTGTCATCAGTCAGCTGTCCCATCACCCCAGCCTCCAAGTCCTCCCAGTGTTGGGACAGAGACAGTTGTGACCACACTCCCAGGACAAATCTCCCCCTACCGAACCCATGGCCGAGATGATATGCTGTATTGTGCCATCAGCCTTCAGAGGCTTCTCAACAAGGGGTTCCTGGTGATCTCTCTGATAGAATGTGCCCCTAGGGCAGGCAGCCTGGCATACAGTAGGTGCTTAGTAAGGATTTGTGGGGTACATTTAATAACCAAGTCGCATAAGCAGCCCCCATGGAATTCTGTGAGGACAGAATGCTGACAGCTTGGAGGGTGTGAGAAGCCCTAGAAATGGGGGTGCCCTGGGCAGCATGGAACTGGCTGTTCCAGGAACCGAGGGAACAGCCTTGCACTGGTGGATTCTGGGGGGCCGTCCTGGTGGCTGAGTACAAGGAGGGCAATGGGGTGGGCCAGTCAGGGGTGATCTTTGAGGCTGCCTAGCTTTTACTACCTTCTTGGACCTCTCAGGACTAGGTCAGGTGTTTGGGTTTCCTGTGGGTGCTGGGCTTTGTGCCACTTAGCCCAAGCATGGCCATAGGATCAGCGTCCCTCCGCCTGAAGTCAGGAGCTGTGGCCCCTGGGAGGTTCCCATCTGTAACAGCCTGGGGTCAGGCTCCTCTTTCATTCACGCAAGATTCCCTAGCACCCTCCTGGACTTGTGACTGAACCCCCCTGCCCCGTCCACTTGGCCTGGCTGGAGCCACAGTGCGAGGGGGCAGAGGCCAGGTGGGGTCATGGGGCAGCCCCTTGCAAGCACTCCCTCCTTCCTCTTCAACTCCTTTCCAGCGCGCCCAGGAGCCAACAGGATGAGGTGCCCAGAAATGCTGCTGAGCTTTTGGAGGGGCAGTGTCAAGGTCCCTTGGCCGGCACCTCTTGCCTGAGCTGCAGGCAGGCCGGTGTACAGCTGGCTCACACTGCACAGCACCGTCCTCTGATCTGCGGGCCTCCCTCTGAACACGGGGTGCTATGGGGGAAATCCCACACCCCTGGCTGTCTGACAACCCATGTGGTCTCAAGTCCAAGCACCTGGTGTGGCCTTGGCTCTGCCACATGCTGAGGGTGTCATTTTTCTAAGCCTCCATTTCCTCATCTGCAGAATGGACAGGGTGATACTGGGGGAGTGGTTATAAGGCCACTGGCCTAGAAAACGCTGCCACATTGAGTCTAGACATCTGTTCAGCAGAAGAGAGGACAAGGTAGAGGAGGCCCTGCCTCACAGGCAGGAAGGCCTGGCCTTCCCAAATCCCCAGGCCCAGCCCCACCAGAGGAGTGGGAAGGCATGGGGGAAGGGGCAAGGGACCCCCATGACATCTGAGGAAGTAGGGTGTTCACTCCTAATTGCATGACAGTTTTCTTATTATAAATTAATAGACATTTGTAGAGAGAATGAGGCAGGAACCCTGGTGATTAAAATCCCCCAGCACCACGACTAGGCCATGCCTGGTGACTTCCTGTCATTCCCTTCCAGTGTGTTTTTCCCCTGCATAAGTGGTTATATTTAAAACTTTTTTCTTTTAGGGAGGGGGTCTGGCTCTGTTGCCCAGGCTGGAGTGCAGTGGCATGATCACAGCTCACTTTAGCCTTGAACTCCTGGGCTCAAAGGATCCTCCTACCTTGGTCTCCCAAAATGCTGGGACTACAGGTGCATGCCACCACACCCAGCCCTTAAGACTTCTTTTTTTAATTGTCAAAGTCATATAGCAGCAATACAAAGAATTTAGAGAAAAAAACCAAACCGGCTCCGGGTGATCCCGCAGCTGTATCCCCTGCACGCCCCCTCCATCACCCTCTTTGCTAAGGTCAGAGACCTGGGGTCACAGGTCCCACGGTCCCACCATCACCTTCCTTTTCCCAATGCATCCAGTGCTGGCCCGAGGTTTCTCCTGTGCACAGGAGGCCTCTCCCAGCAGCGGTGAGGCCCTGCAGGTGGAAATCCCCAGCTCCCATCTCAGTCACCCGCAGTCCCACTCCTGGCCCAGCAATGCGCCTTGAGCCCCGCCCAGCAGCTGAAAATGGGCTGCGGGTAGCTGGGGGCCCGAGATTCCTAATGCCATGGGGGGACCTGGCAGTGAGCCGGCCCATGCCCCTCACCCCACCCGACCCCATCCTCCCGCACCCCCACACCCCCTTCCCGTGCCCACTCTGCACCCGCGCCGCCGCGCGTTCTTAGCGCCGGGCCCGTCCAGCGGTGGATCCCGCCGCCCCGAGGTGCCAGCAACTTTGTTGACTAAATTCCTGAACCCGCCTGAACCGCGGGGCTAAAAATAACCGGGGCTCTGCGTTCAGCGATCGCTCGGCCAGGCTGCGCGGTGTCACCCGTGTCAGGATGCCCGGAATGTCCCCCCTCTGCTTCCCTGGACTCTGCGGCCGCCCCGTCGCGGATGTGAGGCCCCTGGAGCCGCAGCCGGGCCAAGCGCCCCCCGCCCCCCGCACGCCCTCTGCCCGTGCAGTCCCGGGCGGCGGCCACCAGAGGGCCCTGCCCCCTCCTCTCGCCGGCGGCCCATCCCCACCCCTTCCCACAGCTGTTTCCCGCAGGAGATTGACAGCTGGGCTCTGGGTTGCCATGGGGATAGGCAAATGAGGGCGGCAGGGCTGGGGCTCCTATTGGCCCGGGAGCGCGCGCCCCTCCCGGGGAGGCGGGCCCGGGCTCCCGTCTCTATAAAAGGGCGCGCGCGGCCGGGCGCTCAGCCGTGGGAGGCGGGGCCGGCCGGCGACGCGGGCGGGGTGCGGGAGTCGGGGGAGGGGCAGCCCAAGGCGGCGGAGGCACCGCTACCCGCCCCGGCGCCCGGCAGCGGGGAAGAGAGGGAGGCGCGGGTCCCAGGCCGCCCGACAGACCCGGCTGGCTGCATCCCCAGCGCGCCGCCACGGAGTTGGCTGCGCGAAACTTTTCCCTGCGTCTTTCGGAGCCGGCGCCCCCTGCGCCCGGCCAGACCGCCGCCCGTGAGGAACAAGGGGGGGGAGAGGCCCGCGGCTCCCCCCCCTTCCGCGGCCCGTGGGGGCGCGGCCGGGCGCGGCAGCAGGGCTAGGGCCCCTGGCGATGGCCGCGGAGCTGGCGATGGGCGCCGAGCTGCCCAGCAGCCCGCTGGCCATCGAGTACGTCAACGACTTCGACCTGATGAAGTTCGAGGTGAAGAAGGAGCCGCCCGAGGCCGAGCGCTTCTGCCACCGCTTGCCTCCCGGCTCGCTATCCTCGACGCCGCTCAGCACGCCCTGCTCCTCCGTGCCCTCCTCGCCCAGCTTCTGCGCGCCCAGCCCGGGCACCGGCGGCGGCGGCGCGGCTCAGGCCGGGGGCACTCCCGGGCCGCCAAGCGGGGGCCCCGGCGCCGTCGGGGGCACCTCCGGGAAGCCGGCACTGGAGGATCTATACTGGATGAGTGGCTACCAGCACCATCTCAACCCCGAGGCGCTCAACCTGACGCCCGAGGACGCGGTAGAGGCGCTCATTGGCAGCGGCCACCACGCCGGGCACCACGGTGCGCACCACCCAGCGGCTGCCGCGGCCTACGAAGCCTTCCGGGGCCAGGGCTTTGCGGGCGGCGGCGGCGCGGACGACATGGGCGCCGGCCACCACCACGGCGCCCACCACACTGCCCACCACCACCACGCCGCTCACCACCATCACCACCACCACCACCACGGCGGCACGGGCCACGGTGGTGGCGGCGTGGGCCACCACGTGCGCCTGGAGGAGCGCTTCTCCGACGACCAGCTGGTGTCCATGTCGGTGCGGGAGCTGAACCGGCAGCTCCGCGGCTTCAGCAAGGAGGAGGTCATCCGGCTGAAGCAGAAGCGGCGCACGCTCAAGAACCGCGGCTACGCGCAGTCCTGCCGCTTCAAGAGGGTGCAGCAGCGGCACATTCTGGAGAGCGAGAAGTGCCAGCTCCAGAGCCAGGTGGAGCAGCTGAAGCTGGAGGTGGGGCGCCTGGCCAAGGAGCGGGACCTGTACAAGGAGAAATACGAGAAGCTGGCGGGCCGGGGCGGTCCCGGGGCCGCGGGCGGGGCCGGCTTCCCGCGGGAGCCTTCGCCGCCGCAGGCCGGCCCCGGCGGGGCCAAGGGCGCGCCCGACTTCTTCCTGTGAGCGCCGGACCCCGAGCCCGCGCTGCCGCCCGGGACAAGTTCGGGCTGCCCGCAGCCTCGCTCGGACTCCGCGGCCCAGGCCGTGGACGCAAGGCCCAAGTCTGCCGGCCTGGGCTGGGGGCCCTGCCCGCGGCGCGGCCACTTGCCCCGAGCCCGGTTCCCGCGCACCTTGCCAGTCGCCGTCCTGACGTTGCTGAGATTTCTCTGCGCGCCGAGAACGGCGACTTCCAAGGAAACTTGAGCCGGGTCTAACTTACTCCACAGCGTCCACTTGTACATATGTCAAACGTGTTCTCCGTCCGGCCTCCGCCCCTGCCCGGGAGAGCGGCGAGAGCGGCCGCGTTGCCGTCCTTAGCCGCGGCCTCGGCCTGCCCCGCCCTCCCCTTCGTTTTCTTTCTTTCTGCCTTCCTCTCCTTGTTTTTGTTTTTTTTTTTTTTTACTCCCCTCTCCCTTTTTAAAGCGATCTTATTTGCACAGTATTTCTATTTATTTTGCTTGATAATTAGAAAAGAAAACCTTGGAGGGAGCCCCCTTCCTTCCCCAGCCGGGTCCGCCCTCGAACGGCGAGTCCAGCATGTGTCGCTCGCTCGGAGCGCCCGGCCCTGCCTGCCCTCTGCCCGCTTGCCCCCGCCCGCCCCGCTCCCGGCGATCCCCGGAGATTGAAGCCGGGACGTCGCCTGTGCTCGTCCAGCCTGCTGCCCTGCTGTACCCGACTACTCGACGGGGGGAGGGGGGGTCGCCGTGCTCAGCCGGGTGGGGGCTGGCCCGGACTCCCGTGCTGCTGTTTCTCTATGCACCAGAACCTATCTATGACTCCTGGGGAAATATATCTTATTTTAACCTTCAAGAGAAGTGAAAAGAAAAAAAGTAATGCACAGTATTTCTAGCAAAAAATTTTTTTTAAAATAGGAGGCTTCAGCCTGAACCTCCTGGCATGGGGCGGGTGGAAAATGTTTTTATTTTAATTTAAATTGTATTTCGTTTTGTTTGTGAATATTTTTTTTAAAGCTTGATCGCTTTTGGACTATCTGCTTTTTGGACTATCGGGGAGTGAGGGCAAGGGGCAGGTGCTCCCGGCCCTGCCCGGGACTGGGGATCCGCTGGTTTTCCAGGGCCCTGAGGGGCCAGCACCCGGACTCCAGCGGGTCCTGCCCAGCGCTCAGAGCAGAAGACACACCAGCTCAGCTCGCTGAAAGTTTTGTTGCATTGTTGGTTTTTGTTGTGTTCTTTTCATTTGCTACGAAACTGAGGAAAGGAAAAAATACATAAAATAAATACATTTAGATCCAAAAGTCACTGGAGCCTGGCTGGTTTGTCCGGTGGCTTCCAATTTTGTCACGTTTTTCCCCAAATAGCAAGAAAAGGGGGTCCCTGAATTGGGTTTGCCTTAGCTCTGGGTGGCCGGGCCTGGGCAGGACCGGGGAGAAATTGTGGTGGTGAGTGTTCAGCTTTCTGCTGGCTCTGCACCCCACAGGCCCCGTGTCCCCTGGGGCTGCCCCTTGGGGGAGAGGCCAGAAAGCCAGTGGCAAGAGCCACCAAGCAGGCTGGGATGCAAGGCGTGGGGCATCCTATATGATAACCCAAATGCAGAACTGCTGCATCCTGGTGGCAAAAACTATCCCCAGCCCTTCTGTGCCCACTGGCCTCCCACCTGCAGGTACAGCTTGGCCTCCATCTTCCGTATGGCCTAGGCGTGGACTGGGGATGGCAGGATGAGCCAGCACTCCTGGAAATGTCCCTCTATAGGGGCCCAGGGCAGCCGTGGGGCTTGTAGTAGACGAGTCCCTCCCCGGCTGTGGGAAGGGAGTCAGGTGAGGGCCATCTCCGCTTTGCAAATTTGGAGAGTGTGCTGCTGCCCGCCCGGGCCTCCCAAATGCCTCCTCTACAGGGAGGGTTGTGCCGATTTTCTGTCTGGGGAAAGCAGGGATTCTTTCTCAGACGGACAGGCGGTGGCTGTGGAGTTGCCTGAGTTAGTTTTTTTGCCTTTTTTTGTTTTTTTGAGGCAGCGTCTCACTCTGTCTCAGGGCTGGAGTACAGTGTCGCGATCATAGCTCACTGCAGCCTCCAACTCCTAGGCTCAAGGGATCCTCCTGCCTCAGCCTCCCGAGTGGCTGGGACTACAGGTGTGTGCACTACCACACTCGGCTAATTTTTCTGTTTTTTGTAGAGACGGGGTCTCCTTCCTCAGGCTGATCTGTTTTGTCTTAATTGGAGACCCAGAGAAAGGACAAGTCCTGTCTCAGTCCCTGCTGCTGCCTCCCACTCTCCTTTAGGCTAAGACTTGTAGCAAAAAATTTGGGTCTTCGGGTGGGGGTTGAGCAAAATCCCAGGAGGAGAGCCTGGCTGTGCTGGGTGTGCCTGCGTCTCTTGGGGAGAAAACACTGGTGGGGAGAGAAGCAATGGGGGGGTGGGTTAAAGGGACTAATTTAGAGAGGGCTGTGGTTTGATGGGAGCCACTCCGGGAGGGATAAGCAGGTTCCAGCCAACCTCCAGCCAACGCACATGTCAGATACGTGTGCATGCTGCACACCGGACACACATTGCCAGATGGGGGTTGGCCCCCACGCCCTCACCACACCGGAGCCACTGTGGGGCCAGGCTTTGGGTGCTTGCATAGGGCGTGCCTGCTATTGCCTCCTTCCTGGGTGTCTCCTGCCTCAGCTCAGATATGAGGGTCACCTGGTGTGGGTTCACAGGGGCCCTTTCTCCCCAAGGACAGGCCAGCACCCGTGGGCACATTCACCATTCACGGACGGGGGCTGCTGGCTCCCTTGTGGAAGGTTGAAGTTGTGGTCAAGAGCAGAGAACACTCGATGCCATAGTGCTCCCTGCCACCACGCTGAGGAGCCGTTTGCACAGAGCTTCCTCCCGGCTGACCTCTGGGGAGGAGTGGCAGACAGGGAGGGGGCTGCACTCGCTCACCTGCCCTGACCTACCCAGGCCCCCCAGAACCCCACACTGAGGGGCTTGACTGGCCTTGTGGAACCTACTGGGTCGGGGGCTCAGGGAAGCCGCACTCCTACAACGACAGCATCCCGTCTGCAGCGATCTTGGTTTTCTCAGAAGCTGGGTGAGAGCCTTGGGCCCCAGGCGGCAGCGGGTGGGTTTGATTCGCTTTCCTCTTCCATTTCCCTCCCTCCCTCTCTCTTCCTCTCTCTCATCTTCCCCCCACCAAACCAAGGTGGAGCCAACAAATGGACGCATGGACATGACCAGTGCAGAAATCATTGGGGCGGGAGGAGTGCTCAGACACAGATCTTTTCTAAAAATCGTTTTGTCGGCGTGAACCCCCTCAGGAAGACAGCCTGCGTGGAAAGCATCTTTGGCCCTGGCCTCCTGCACCCACCGCTGTGGGGAGGGCAGCGCCAGGCCTGCTCCCCCAGCCCCGCACGGGCCTCCCTACAGACGGTGTCCGTTTGGGAGGGCTGCTGTGGCCAAGCCTGGCTGGGGACGTGGGGTGGGTGACAGGTGAGGGCTTCAGGCAGCAGTGCAGAGGGGCTGCTCCGCATCCCCTGGCCAGGGAAGTTCGGTGGGCTGGTTAGGACTGTGGGGGTGGAGGCCTTAGTGCTTGCCTCACTGGGCCTGGGGCCACCGGGCTGGCAGTCCTTGGGAAGGCTGAGGAGCTGGGATGTATGCAAAAGGACACTGTCCTGTGCCTGTGGGTGTCTCTGTAGGTGTGCCGGGCAGTGGCATCCCCAAGCCAGAGCCACCTGGACAGCAGGTCTGAGGGGAGCTGGAGGGTGACTGGGCCAGGGGAGCTGGAGGGTGACTGGGCCACCTCCCCGCCCCTCCATGTCCCAAGAGGGCAGTGAGAGCACCTGGCCTGGGTGTCCCCTGCCTCAGCACCTGAACCCAGAGCAGGCAAGCTTCTCATCTGCTAGGAGCCATTCTCTGCGTCCTGCAGGAGGCTGCCTGGGCCCAGAGCGGTCCCTCCTCCACCTGCCTCCTAGGGGTCCGCAGTAGGGACAAAAATGATTAAAATGACAGCCCTGGGCCTGAAGCTCTGAGGGAGACAGACAAGAAAACCAACGTGAGTGGGTCTGTGGTGGGAAAGTATGGTGGAAAGCCCTCGGAGAGAGGAGGAGGTTGGGGTTTTGGTGACTGGGTAGCCAGGAATGCCTCTCTGAGCACAGGTGGAGCAGCCCGGGGCAGGGGGGTGGGGGTGGATGTCATGTTCCCAGGTGAGCTGGGG